GGTTTTCTTGAGTAATATTTTAATAAGTTTGTGTGTAGCGCTTCAGCTCGAACTAATCTGCTCAACTGGAGTAATACCATTGCCTGGTGAAACAAGCCTGCGTTATGTTTCGACGTGTTAATGAGGTTACCGGAGGCCCAATACTTCCCATCTCTGTTGCTCAATCCCTCCAAGTCTCAAACTCTTAAACCCCAATTTTACCCACCGACAGCGAGCTTGTAACATCTCATTGTTACAGGTGTAGCCAATTGCATACCATCAGGGTGTCCGTCTGTCCGTTCTCGTTTGCCTACCTATCACATAAAAACGTAGATAGAAAGCGATGAGATTCAAGGATGAATTTGAACGTTTATTACGTTCGCTCCAACAACAAAAACAACAATTAACGAAAGCAGCTTGTAAACATTCTCATACAATATAAGATCACCTCCAAGGCGAGCGAGTCAAGTCAAACATCGGTTACAAAGTCAACCAAGAATTCGGATACTGTGATTTATTTAATCCAAGTTATTCACTTCGTTTATTAAGCAGAGTCGAGATTAATACTGAGAGCTTAACGTAAGACGTGAACTCAACGCCCCGCAGCCCGCGCCCCGTGAGACCCCGGCACCCCGCGTGACGCCGACAGATAAGCTAATTACTTATTGTGATTTAGCAACCGGTTCTCGACAAATTTTTCGTCAAATTTTCAGAGAGCAATTCTGAATAATAAGTAGACGTCGTCCACCACAATGGCAGCAATTAACCGGACAATTTAACTTTTAAATTGCGAATTAAGAAACTGGGAGTGCAAAGGTTGAACATGGCCCGTGAAATTAATTGTCAAGAAAGGTTTTACTGTCCCGCCGGCCGTATCCTACATAATATTCTCACACATTGCGCCAAAAGAAGAATCAGGAAGAGAAAATAACGAAATTAATTTACTCAATAATCTAAGTTATGCAAGGAACAAAGAACTGGCATTTGTTTAATATATATTTCCAAGGTTGCTTAACACCACAGTTTTGAAAGTTTTACAAAGTAGTTTTTATCGGGTTCTTTGTTTTCACCCATAATCCTAGTTTTTCTTAGTGTCCGTAGCAAGCAGAGGGAAACTTTTCGAAACTTGAATTCATAAAGAAAGTTTAAAGTTTGAGCAAACTTAAATAAAAACAGAAAAGCTTCTGTAGTCAAAGCGCAGGCGGAATTATCTAATTGTGTTTGTTATCTACGTAGCTTGTGTATGCCCGAGTAACAATATTATACATTATTGTGAAAGCGATTTTAGCTTTGCGTTAATCGGAATTCGGGAATGAGCATAGACAATGTAAACATGACAATAGGAGCAGGAGTAAGGGGCTGGTTAGCACTCGTATCGGTGGCGTGCCACTCGTGAGATAACACAACGCGCCGTCTTTGTGGACGGATGTAAAATTATTAAGCAACGGAATGCTGGAAATGGGGTTTGCCTCTGTAATATCAAGGGTTAGCGTCGAGTCGCTCACAATATGGGCTTTCATACGATTAAGTTTATCGAATTCCGGGTGTAGCTACCTAATTGTATTCCATGATATCGGTGGCCAGCGCGCGATGTTGTGGCCCCGATAATGACATTTTTTATCCGCCGAAAATTATAATGTATTTTAACGGCGGCTGTGAGATGGTTTCCCCTCGCTCACTTTCAGCTCAGACAAATTTTTTCGTGCATATTTCAAGCGGGATTAAATTGTTTCAAACTTTGTCGGACAGTCTGTCGAATGCGAGAAGGCTGGAATCGATTGACAGCCGGATGATTCTGTCGTTATGAAACCTCGCAGAGCAAAGTCGATCGTTTTAAACGGCGGGCGTCAATGTCGAATTGGCAACGAGAATAAAGCAGCCGCAAAGTAAACACCATTCAATTTTATTACGAAGAATAGTCTTCTTTGAAAATCCCTCGGTAGCAATCCCGTAAATCTCTATTTGTCGCAACTAAAACAGGTCACGGCGGAAGGCTATTACGTTCCCTAAATGCTGCCGAACTCCCTGTAGAGCGCTCTAATCCACTCCGAACGGGCTGGTGTCAAACGCAGGCCAGGGTTGTTTGTATTGTTTATTGTCGCGACGCTCGTTCGTACGGCAAAGACGCCGTCGCCGGCACGGGAGAGCATGTTTCAATTGATGGAGCCGAACAGTCCCCGGAGTAAACTATTATATTCCTGCCCACGAACGATACTTATCCTCACTTAATGTCTCCTCTACCTTACTTTGAAATCTCGACGAGCTTTATAGTATTTCAAATAGGCAACGGTTTCTTAAGTACAACGTTTTCTGTGAAATAAGTAATAAGTATGTAAAGACAAAGGATGTTAATAATTTACATACTGTTTTGTTTGTGAGCCTGTATATGCGTGGAATTACAGCTTTTATCAGTCAGTATATTTGCGAAGAAACGCTTCGTCAGGCGTCCAGTTTTATGCGACGGTTCGGCGTTCGGGTGTGGATGAATAAAAAGCACTGAAGAGCCAGCAGAATGGAACAAAACACTTGAAACAATATCGCGACAGAGCGGCAATCATTCCTGTTTTATCTCAGTTTGTGCACGCTGCGCCGCGGAAACTGCTCTAATAAAAAAACTACCATGTGTTTCTACGTACATATGTATACGTGCGCACTCTATGTGCACGTATAGGTTACTGCAGTGTTGCACCTGCGTTGTTCCTTGCAGATATGAAGGAAAAAATATTATGCTTTCATTTTTATGGATTTTCAACTATTTTATTTTGTAAAAAGCCATTTGTACTTTTCATAAGGTTTCTTTTGGTTTCGTCTAAGGAATAAATGTTGGAAACACGATAACGTTTTACTATTGCTAAATTCGTAAATCAGTAATTTTGTCAGGGGTACGATATTGGTAAGACATATTTAGTTTATTAATTTATATAAAAATGTTTGGTACATATACGAGGTAATAAGTAGTTGCTTAAATACTATAAAATCATTTCGAAACGATTGGAATGAATAAAAAAATATTTATTAAAAAAATAACATGCGTTTAAAATTTAAATATGAATATAAATTATATGTATTGAGATTTTAACTTGAAATTTTTGTTTAATTTGTTTAATCTCTTATTTTATAAATGAAAAATATGAATTCAGTATTTTATTAGCGTATCGTTCAAATGAACAATGTAAATATTTGAACGCTATTTAGATTCATTCGGATGGTTAGTCTGTTTTGAAGTAATATTTTCAAGCTAGGACTCGTAAAAGTTTTTCATACTAGCACAAAGGCCTGCAGCGTTGCTATTTTTATATAAAAATATGAAGTTATTTATTAATTAAAAACTTGTTTGTCTATAAGGTGGACTGCATCTTTTAATTTGAACTGTGCTGTTTTTGTTGGCAATAAACTGCATGGACTAGTTTCATAAAAACTTTTTTGACGTGACCTCGTTGGTTGCTAGCCCGACTGTGGAGCTAAAAGGTACTGGATACGGTTTTTAGCCTAAATCAATTTTATTTTCAATCACAACATGGTATAAGAAAAGTTGCTTTCTCTGTCCTTATGTATGCTAAAGTCTTTAAAACTACGCAACGGATGCGTTTTGTTTTAATACATAGAGTGATTAAAGAGGAAGGTTTATATGTATAAAACATCCATTAAATAGTAAAGATGTCTAGTATCAGTATTTCACATGTGGGAAGAATAATAACAAAACGGTAGATTTTTTACGCTTACTTTCATTGCGATTTAACATATGTACGGCTCGTACCAAAACTGGCGAAAAGTGTTTTTTAATATTATTACTGTCTCTAATTGTGTTTTTATAATAACTATCGTGAGACATACTAAATTAACTAAAATTCGCGGGTTACTCACGTGTGAATGTTGAGAAAAGCTCTACTAGTTTCGAACCACAGAGGGGTTCTTCCTGATGAGCAGCGTGCGCGGACGCGGCGACGTCGCGCAGCCTACATGTGGTTCGAAACTAGTAGAGCTTTTCTCAACATTCACACGTGAGTAACCCGCGAATTTTAGTTAGTCTCTAATTGTGTTTTCAAATCTATTATAAGTATGTTTAAAACATTTTTTTTTATTTTCTTTTCTACTATAAAGTTGCTTTAGCTTTAAGAAGTATTCGAAGTTAGTTTACGTAAAAACTTTTTCACGGTCAAGATTGTTATATATGTTTAAGTTGGTTTACAACTTGACTAAGTAGAGACCCGACTCTTGGTTGGGGGTTAGTGTTGGCATGAAATTCGCTAGATGGCTCTTAATGAAATAGTACGACGTAACTATCTACTAAGTTATGATGTAAGAAACTGTTTTATTACGTGGGTAATATTTGTATTTTTATTTACACATTAACTACTTTTTCAGTAATTTCAAAACTTCTGTTCATACATAGGCTTTTTAAAGTGATCGGATTTTATAGTGCAAACTCTAGAATAGGACTTTTAGGATAAGAATCTTTTTGTTCACATATTCACCGTTTGGCAGTAAAACTTGAAGAGTTCGTTTTGATATATTTACCTCTCAAAGATTAACAAAGATGGTTATTAAGTAACCATAAGCCATGATAAGGAAGAGGGAGTAATGAATTTTGGTGGCTTATAGATATAGCGAAATCCAAAGAATCACATCTAGTAAAAAAATTAATATTTTATTAAATTGACATACATACAAGTAAGTAATAGGACGAAAACATTATGTGTTGATCCCAATTAACCTAAATTAATATGGTAGTTAAAGGCTCTATATGAAATATAAAATCGGAATTTGAATTGTTATCATCAAAAACTCACTTGAGACACTTTTTCTGTAAAGTTGCCAAGTCAATAGCATTCGGAAGTCGGAAGTAAATAAAAAAATTAAGGCGGACGTTCCACTCTTTTGCTTGTTACCGAAAAAATCCGTTCTCATTGTCCCCACGTACTTCATATTCACAACGCTTTGAATCCTGTACTCTCGAAAAGGAAAAATAAATATCCTTTATACTCATTTGATTCGTCTTTTTTGTTCCAGATTTACTGAGCGTGGCCGGAATGAAACCATAATAACATTGTAATATTACGACAATAAATAACTGTTTTAAATTTACTCAACCTAGGATAAATAATGAACTTTATATATTTATTAAAAATTCATAATTTTGAGATGATTTAACCTCAGAAAGAGGATTGTTATGACAATAACGCAATGTGATATAATACCAAACAAGTTATTGGTTTTAAATGACTTTTGGCGTCATGGCGTCGGAATCATCGCGGCGTTCAAGATCCGTTTCCATGGAAACCGGCGGTCTACCATTGGTTTCGACGTTTGCTCTGCTCACTATTGTCGCAGGTAAGGATTGTATTAACAGGTTTGCCTCATTAGGACGCTATGGCGACGGTGCTTGCGGCACAAGCCTGGTTAATCTAGCATCCGAGCGTTAGTAGTCAAGTTTAGTAGTTAGTCTTCGCTTTAGGTACGACAAGTATAAGTCTAATCAAAAGTCTAGTCTAAAAAAAGGTTTTGTCTTGTACATAAAAGAAGTGATGACACCAGGCCACTAGAGCAACCTGTAGCCACATAGAGAGTTGAAGTTCGCCACGCTTGCAACTTGGCGATGCGGCAACGCATAGTGAGTCAAATACCATATATTTAAATTAAGGTACTAATTACTAAGTAGGTGCTTGCGTACTGATGAAGTAGCCATGGCGTCCTAATGAAACAGAGGTCTTAGCTAACGGCCAGGTTCAAAAGTATAATAAATATTTCGTGTGTATGTCAAAAACAAAAGTGAAAATTATTTCTTTTAAATATATCATATACAAGTATTTTGAAACGTCAAAACCAATTTAGAATGATATTCTGCCAGTTTGCTCGTCAGCGAAGCCAGGTGTGCGTTCCAATACGTGGAGTCGAATAGACGAAAAAGGAAAAAACTCTAAAACAATGATCTTTAAAAAATATATTACCCGATGCATTATTTATTGGCTATTTGGAAGAATACTTCTATTTAACCTTTTAGTAAAATATGGAATATGTCAAAGTTTTATCTCTAAAGTCAAATCCATCTATATATGAAGGTTATTGAAACTGGCTACGTTCATATTTAGCGTGAAATTGATAAATGAAAAATTAGAAAGTTAATGTCATTGTAGTAATCGCCAATCGCTGATAGGTACTAAAAATATCCAGTTTTGACGTTTAAAATATCGCTTATCAAATTCAGAATCTCCAATAAGCCAAAGTCATATTGAAGTCAAAGCTAAAGTATTCTTTTAATTAAACCTTTTCAGATACTTTTGAAACTCAATATTATATTGATTTTGTATATGTATAATACAGCTCTTGGCTCGGCTTTGACCGTACAAAAATCCTATGAATTTGTCATATTTCTGACTATAGGTACATATATGTAGCAAATATCGAAAAGATCCACAAATGGGTCGGCTCGACCGGGGTGATACCACGGCCTTAGGGAAAACAATCATAGCGTTGTATTTCGTCCTGTGAGTTAGCTTACCGGAGGTCCAAACCTTCTTCTACCCCAATCCCAAAATTCTGAAACCATAATCCCCAAGAAACCGTCAACGCACTCCTCCTCTGGCGTTGTCGAATTCTTACCATCAAGTAATCCGTCTGCTCGTTTGTCGACTTATCACATAAAAAAAGTCTAGTCACCTAGGCAAGGAAACAGTCTAGTCAACAAACAAGGTAACATACCTTCATACTTATAATATTAGATTGAATATAAGTACTTACAGTACAGTCTGTAATTGAAGTGAAACTAGTTCCTCATTCCAAGAACTTGAAAGCCTCACTCGTCATTGAGTGTGTAAACAATTCGCAGACAACACACTATCGCAGTACATTAATGTTCCTACAATTTGAAATTGCCAACTTGATTGTTTGTAGTTAGTTCTACACATACATATTATGAATAAATTCTTTGAATTCTCGAATATTTATGTATATTTGTTGTATTATTAGTTTCGTAATCCTGTTATTAGAAAAACTATTAAGAAACGAAATGAAATGATATTTATGATGATTATTTTTTGGGATATGTCGGCAAATGGACTGATGGATCACCTGATGATGAGCAATTGAAGTCTTCCATAGATATTTGTAATACCAGAGGAGTTACGAATGTGTTACCGGAGTTTTGGGCGATGGAATGTGAGGGTTTAGGCTCAGCTAGACTAGGGGAGAATTGGGTCACTCACACGGTGAAACAAAACGCCTTGGTTGTTCACACCACCATCTATCTGTGAGGCCCTATTATATTATGTACGGAAACAAAATATAATATAAAAATGATATTAAGTACATTTTAAATATCTCATAATTAGAACCGTAGAAGTACTTAAAAAAAAATACATTATACATTCCCAACTAGTTTTTCGATTCATGATTCTCAGTTCCTTAGTGAAAGATGCAGAGAAGGTCGCATTCGACTGTAACACAAAGGTATTCCTTTATATTCAGAGTCTGACTTTAATTGGTAATAAACATAGCTCAACTTCAAGGCGGAGAGTTAACGCCCATTTTGAATAAAATTACGTTAATGTACCTAGAGAACCTTGTTACATGGTTATATTATGCCAATTACCCTGGTAGACAGTATAATGGGTTTGTTCTAAGGACTCGATAGCCGTGTGGTGTCAGTAGAATGTATTTTCAACCAACACTGGTCTTTCGTTGGGTATTTTAAGAGCCGAATATATACGTATACGTAACAGAGTTCTGGCAGCTGCGTATTTCAATCTAATCTTTTTGATATGCAATCTCCAACCTTCCTGCACCTGACTCACGAGTTGTTAACGAGGGGTTATGAGTATGTTGCCGTCCTTGCGGGTAGTAGTGTATCGGACGTTTAGGTAGGTAACCCCACTCACAGGTAAAACACAGTGCTGTAGTTGTTTCACGATGGTTTTCTGTGAGGCCGTGATATCATTTCGTTCGAGCTGACTCAGACGTACCACTTTTTTATGTAGATTATCCACTATCTAGTATTTTTTAAAGTGATGATTCAAGACTCTTCAGGGAACAGAAACTCAAGTCTTTTTATATGTTCTTACAGCTATTTCACTGTGCTCAGCAACTGATCAAAGTGTTGACAGTATCACTTAATATTGCTGTTTAACACATTTATAGAACAACGCTTTCTTTTGTACTGTCCTTTGTGACTGAAGCGTCAAAGTTGCATGTCATGTTCTGTAATTTATTCAAGGACGTGTTGTAATATGTTTCTTTTTTCTCTTTTCTCATTCTTTTGATGAAGATTTTATAACTTACTTTTTACTACTAGTAACCTTACGCTCACTTATAGATACATAACGCTGTGAAAGGGGTACACAGGTACACAGGTAGGAGACAGGAAGTATAAGAACAGTAACAAAAGTCTCTCTAGTTTTTTCAAGTGTATTAACTAGAGAAACTGACCTCTGAGTTTGTTTCACCAATTCTTCTCAGACTAGTCAGATATCAAATATGTTGAATGTTTCATTGTTTTATTAATTACCTACAATTTCAATCACTGTTTTAGTTTGTAGTTTGTAGTTTTTCTGACACTCATTCATTGACTCGCTTTTTAGCATTCGTATTTTTTTTAATGTTGTAAACAGCCATAGTAATTAATTTCGTTAATATTTGACTACTAACTAACATACTTATGGTTACAGACCTCATGAAAAGCTTAATATCGTGTCGACTATCTCTTCAAGCTTTGAAAACATTAATTTTCCTTTCCTAGTCCTTCCATTAAAGTAATGTTAAAACCGGTTCCTCACTCAGACTCCGCCATTAGTTCGTTTGGACTATTCTGCGAAATAATAATATTTAGTAACATTTGGATATTTTAGTAATTTCATGTTATTTTTCAAATTATTTTCTGATAGCTGTTTCCAGCGTAATGTTAATAATATTCGTTTTTTGTGGTGATATTGATGTGAAATAGCTATTTTATTACTGTCACTAATGTCTCAGCTCAAACGGTGTGATACCACGTCTATACAGAATACCGTCGTGAAATAACGCTTGCATTTTGTTTAACCGTGTACATGAGGTTACCATCCCTAATCCTTAACAACGCTTAGATAACTCCTTTGGTGTTGCGTGTGTGATCTTCAGCTGTATGATCGTTTACCTTCCTAAACTTTAAAATAGTTCTGTTATAAAAGAGTCAACTTTTATAAAAATAAATGTTGTCTTAAGACGTGTCTAGTTATGTTCATGTCGTAAATGTGTTTTGGGTAGTTCGATTTTGCATTATACATAAATTTAAGATTTTGTGTGGGAACGGGATTTTACAAATTTAAATCATCTATAGACTTGACAGAATAGTATATATGTAAATTGGAATAGGTAGACTACAAAGAAAAACAAAGTCACATTCTCGTGTAAGTTCATCTTTGTTTCTTTACGGACGTGTTAGTCGGTACGTGAGTTAAAACTAGACCGCAGTTCACGTGATGTAGCAAATTGTTGCACTTTAACGACTGTCTACAGTGGCGGGCTGCAGTTTAGAAGCAATACCGACCCAGATTCCCTCACGTACCGCCGACGCGCCTCCAACGCGCCAGACGTAAGGAACCCGCACTGAGCGCTGCCCTACTGGATTCCAAGTTTAATTGAAAACGCTTTATATAACCTTTTCTTTTAATTGTTTAAAGCTTTCACTTCATCCCCGGCCCGTGCTCTGTGAAATGTTTAATTATAGTTCCTAATGAAAAGTCCACAATTCAAACAAACACGTACAATATAAATAATGATGTTTGTGTGCAATGCGAACGATATGCGTTAAACCCACATTGGATTACAGCTAATCATTGGATTAATTGTATGGAAATTAGTGATCGTACGCGTGGTGAATTTAACGCAATTCTATCAGAATGTAATTATAGACGTCGATGAGCGTGAAATACTGAATAATTGGAACACGTAATCGAATATGGAGGGCTCGACCGGTGAAGTCCGTTATAATTGATATAATAATTAAATCTGTTCATATTCACTTGTAACTTATTAAAGTGTTCGGCTCACATCCAAGTAAGTTAATATTTTTCTGATTTACAAAGTGATGTTAATGATATTTTATGTGGTACAGCGCGTGGGTGATTTATTACTCTAGATATAATTTTATCCATCGCTCGGGTGGTGGATATCAAGATAAAGGGGTCGTCGGTCGACAAAGTTCGTCGCGTAGCTGCCGGCTACTGGCCTCGAGTTATTAATTTTCATTTGACTCGGATAAAAGCCTTACTTATTGCTATTAAACGTCTTTGAGTAATTTGTTTTGTGACATCTTTGCGTTAAAGCCCTTACATAGGCGTTTTAAACTAAAATGACATTAT